CATTAGTCAAAGGAGGTATCTCAATTTTACATATTCCTACATAGTTCCATCACCAGTGCCACTTTCCAGAGTCAAGGGAGGCATCTCAGTTTTAGGGGACAGTTTCTTTTGCAATTTATTATCAACTGAAACCATTACTAATGTTTTATTTGAGTATGTAAGAGGCATTCTTTTACCCACTGACCACTATTGAAAGGAGGAATTCTTACACACTCTAACCGCTATTGTTAGGGGGAATTCTTACACACACTGACCACTAATGTAAGATGGAATTCTTATACACACTGACCACTAATGTAAGAGGGAATTCTTACACACAATGACCACTAATGTAAGAGGGAATTCTTAAACACACTGACCACTAATGTAAGGGGGAATTCTTACTCACACTGACCACTAATGTAAGAGGGAATTCTTACTCACACTGACCACTAATGTAAGAGGGAATTCTTACACACACTGACCACTAATGTAAGAGGGAATTCTTACTCACACTGACCACTAATGTAAGGGGGAGTTCTTACACACACTGACCACTAATGTAAGAGGGAATTCTTACACACTCTGACCACTAATGTAAGGGGGAATTCTTACTCACACTGACCACTAATATAAGGGGGAATTCTTACACACTCTAACCGCTATTGTAAGGCGGAATTCTTCCGCACACTGACCACTAATGTAAGAGAGAATTCTTCCACACACTGACCACTAATGTAAGGGGGAATTCTTACACACACTGACCACTAATGTAAGGGGGAATTCTTACACACACTGACCACTAATGTAAGAGGGAATTCTTATACACACTGACCACTAATGTAAGGGGGAATTCTTACACACTCTAACCGCTATTGTAAGGCGGAATTCTTCCGCACACTGACCACTAACGTGAGAGGGAATTCTTCCACACACTGACCACTAATGTAAGGGGGAATTCTTACACACACTGACCACTAATGTAAGGGGGGATTCTTATACACACTGACCACTAATGTAAGGGGGAATTCTTCCACACACTGACCACTAATGTAAGAGTGAATTCTTCCACACACTGACCACTAATGTAAGGGGGAATTCTTACACACTCTAACCGCTATTGTAAGGCGGAATTCTTCTGCACACTGACCCCTAATGTGAGAGGGAATTCTTCCACACACTGACCACTAATATAAGGGGGAATTCTTACACACACTGACCACTAATGTAAGGGGGAATTCTTATACACACTGACCACTAATGTAAGGGGGACTTCTTACACACACTGACCACTAATGTAAGAGGGAATTCTTCCACACACTGACCACTAATATAAGGGGGAATTCTTATACACACTGACCACTATTGTAAGGGGGAATTCTTCCAGACACTGACCACTAATGAAAGGGGGAATTCTTACACACTCTGACCACTATTGTTAGGGGGAATTCTTCCACCCACTGACCACTAATGTAAGGGGGAATTCTTCCGCACACTGACCACTAATGTAAGGGGGAATTCTTACACACACTGACCACTAATGTATGGGAGAATTCCTACACACATTGACCACTAATGTAGGGGGGAATTCTTCTGTCCCCTGACCACTAATGTAAGAGGCATTCTTCCACCCACTAACACCTAATATAAGGAGGCATTTGTGACCTGGCTAACCACCAATATAAGATCAATTCTTTCTCCAGTAACTACCAATTTATAGGGCATGTTTCCACCCACTAACCACTAATATAAAGGGGAGAATGCCTTGTCCACTGACCACCAATTCTTTCACCCACTATTAATGTACAGAACATTCATTCACCCATTGACCATTATTACAAGAAGGCATTCTTCCACCCATTGATCACCAATTTAAGCCTTACTGCCTTACATTGGTGGTTAGTGGGAAGAATTATTTGACCCACTGACTTCCAATGTAAAGGACATTCTACCACCTACTGGCACACAATGGCAAAGCCAACAAACATAGGGGACATTCTTCTACTGATCAGAAATGTGAGGGAGTATTCTTCTACCCACTGCCCACCAATGTAAAGGACATTCTTCAACCCACTGTCCAACAATGTAAGAGACATTCTTCTACCTAATGACCATTTATGTAAGGGGTATTTGTCCACCCACAGACTACTAAATAAGGGGGCAGTATTGTTCCCACTGACCACCAATGTAAGGGTAAATTTTTCTACCCACCAACCACCAATGTAAAGAAGCATTTTTCCTCTACCTGACCAGCAATGTAAAGTGGCATTCTGCCACCTACTGACCACTAATATAAAGGGCATTTTCTTAACATTGACAACCAATGCAAAGTCTTCTTCCCACTAACCATTAACGTAAGGGGGGAGAGAAAACAGGGGCCTCGTTAACATTTCACTATGGGTTTTTTTTTTTGGTATGGGATTATTATTGTTTCCACATTAGTTTTTACAGTTGCCACAAGCTGGCAGTTGACAATGATGGTAAATGAGCCTGAAATAAATTATCTATGTGTTTGAACCCACTGTAAAATAAACATTGGTTTCTACATAAATTATCAGTAGTGTGTGTGTGTGTGTGTGTGTGTGTCTGTAACAGCAAATATGGTCGTGACAGCGTACTGTAAACTCATTTAGGGACATACAGTATTTTGATGTGAATGGTTCTCTGTACCCTTTAAAGTACTACACAATATGTTGAAACTATATAAATATAAATGTTTAAACTAAATAAATGAACCATTACAATGAATAAATACATAAATGTTAAATGTTTGTATTTTTACAGGATTTGCTGCTTTTTCTTGCATCTCTCTTACTGGTCTGTAATGTTACAAGGTATGTGATGTTCCACTTATCATAAATAAGACTTTTTTCTGACAGTATATTAAGGCAAACATGTCAAAAAAATGAAAACAAATGCTTGGGTCACTCTGATGCCTCAAATTACCTATATCACCCCACCACCCTGATCCCTCCTGCAGCCCCCATTTGTCCATAATTGCAATTGCTATCCTACAATGGCAGATCCCCTATTCTTACCCTATACAACAACAAAAAAGCTGAAAAATAAACAATGAAATAGCACACAACAATAACAAATATCTAATTGTGAATAAATAGCAAACAAATTCAGCAGCGAGGCCTGTGAGACAAAACGGAAAATAAATCACATCTGTTTTATTCAGTGTTTCCTTCACTCCAAATGAACTTGTGACAGCGATGGCGTTCCTGGGGATGTTTAGTCATAAATGATCCAGCTAATTAGCTGTAATATCTTTTTTTGTTGTTTATTATTGGCCTGTTAGCATTAGCTCTAATTAGAGAGTATTAAGCCTGCTAATGGTAATTAGTGTTGTTTTTGCAATGGCAGGATGTTTAGAGGCATAAAACGGTGTCAGTGTCACTGTGTCAGAAAGCCATTTTATATGAAAATATTCTGTAACATATGTTAGGTTTTTCTCTTGCGTCAACTCAGCTAGCATAGCATGGTACACCATTAGTTTGCGATCATTTAAAAAAGCAAAAAAAAAGTTTGGTATAAAAATTGAAAATGCATGGTTAATATGTGCAAAAATTATGTAGCTTTAAAAAACAAGACCTAGATGCATCAACCAAAAGACAAAAATAAATAAATGAAAAACCTGCACCCTCTGAACCCTATACTCACTGTTGATCAAGAGGAAGGCAAAAAAAACCTCTTATAAAGCATGGTCCAGTTTGTTCCAGCAGTAATAAATACAAATCTGATTCCCTGAGGAGCTATTATTTACACTTATGTGTTTTTCCTTCTGATGTATTTTCTATTGAAATCAGTGGCAGAACTATCGCCATAGCGACCCAGGCAGCCACTATGGGGCCTGGGGCGCCCGGCCAGGACGAGGAACAAAGGGGTCCCCCTGATGCCTTGTGGCCGCATGGGTCGGTATGGCATCTCAGGCTGCTGGCTGCCACTGGCGGCTGTGAGGAGGAACGTGCCGCTGTTCAGATCACTGACAACCTGTCAATGATCTGTGCAGCGGCACGTTCCTCCTCGCAGACGCTGCTGAGTCAGTGACAGCCAGTAGTTGCAAAGGAGGAGGAGGAGGCGGGGACCAGCGTCAGCAGCGGAGGAGGAGACAGGGCCCTGCGACGGAGGAGGAGGCAGGGCCCGGTGTCGTCAGTGGAGGAGGAGGTGGGACCAGCAATGGAGGAGGAGGCGGGGCCCACCAGCGACCGTGGAGGAAGAGGAGGTGGGGCCCGGCGGTGGAGGAGGCTGACTGAGGATTGGGGCTGACAGGTAAGAGGTGTGCAGGGGTGTGACCAGCACACCTGGGATCCTGCGGAGCCCACCATAGAGGGTCTATGGTGGGCTCTGCATGGTCACTCTCTGGAGGGTTGTTTGGGGTCTCAGGTGGGCTCTGCAAGAGGTGTAACTAGAAATCACAGGGCCCCATACAAAATTTTGCTATGGGGCCCTGTCATTTCTAGTTACGCCCTTGATTGAAATCAGTGGCAAGGCATTAAAATGCATTGACATGTGACCTTTGTAAAATTCTGGATGAAAGTTCATGTAGGGGAAAATGTTGGATGCTTACTTTACCCCCTCCAGTGGCGCCTAGACATCCTTCATCTGGCGAGATCTTGGAGAGTGTTGAGCAGCCAAATTCTCTTGAAGGTGATCCTGCTTTGTGCTGCAGTATCTTTTCACGATATTGGGGCTACAAAGCAATTGCCACAAATTTTGTAGTCATCCTATTGGTATCATCATGTGCACCACACTGAACATGGGCCAGCGAAAGCAAAAGAGGGAGTTGTCTGAGTTGTCTCAGAAAGCAAATTTTCAACCTTAGGTTGAACAGAAGGCCAGTATGAATGGTAGAAAAAAAACAAGGAAAACTTTGAGATACAAACTGATCTCCAGGGTGAAGGTACATCAGTGTCTGATCCACCCATCCATCACAGTGGGCTCATAGGAAGACTGTTGAAAGAAAAACATAAAAATGCCATACTGTAATTTACTGAAATGCTTACTGACAAGCCACAATGCTTCTGGGAGAATGTCCTTTCAACAGACAAGACAAAACTGGAGCTTTTTGGTAAGTCATATCAGCTCTATATTCACAGAAGAAGAAAAATGAAGTGTTCACAGAAAAGAATGCCATACCTACTGTGAAACAATGAGGAGGCTTGTTTATGTTTTATGGCAACATTGCTGTCTCTGGCAAGGGGCGCATTCAATCTGTGCAGGGCACAATGAAATCTCTAGACTATCAATGAATTCTTGAGCGCAGGTCATTGGTCCATTAACAGGACAATGACCCAATATACTGCTAAAAGCACCCAGGAATGGATAAAAACACACATTGGCCTACTCTGAAGTGGCCTTCTATGGTGCCTTATCTGAATCCTATTGAACATCTATAGAAAGAGCTAAAACATGCAGTCCGGAGAAGGCACCCTTCAAACCTGAGACAGCTGGAGTAGTTTGCTCTAGAGGAGTGGGACCAACTACTTTGGCAGCTGCATAAATGTATTGAGAGCTACAGAAATTGCTTGTTTGAAGCGATTGCCTTTGTGCAACAAAATATTAGGTTAAGGGTCCTTTGGCTATGCTTGTTGTATTATTTTTTAACCAAAAGCAAAATATGATTTTTAGTCATTAAGGAATAAACAGAGATGGATGCTTTGGTCAGATTTAAGTAATTTCCAAGAAAATGGTGGGTTCTTCTCTTTTCATGGAAGCAACATATCTATCCACACCTGTATATAGGTAAGGGGAGTTATTTCTGTCTGTGACCCTATTTTGGGAGATTTTCCCTCTTTTCCTGTCTTTGTGCAAGAATTAGAGGTGGGGGCATCACCAGTACAGGATGGCACATACAGTAATAAAAACAAAACCAGAACTTTAAAGGGCCTTGACACTACTTCCTTCTGCCAGGCCTGAAAAGGGAAAGCAGAAGCAGACCCCCCTCCCACATCCCCATCCCCTATTCCCCCTTTCTTTCCTGACATCCCTCCCTACCCGCTCCTAACTTCCCCACCTTGATCCTGCATTCCTAATTGTCTCTCCTCTTTCCTTTTCCAGCATACCTCTGTCCTAATAACCTATCCTACCATTAGAAAATTTACACTGAATAATAACACACAGATATAGAAAGTTACATTTTATTCGAATTTTAATTCTATAATTCATAGTGATGTTATGTGTTTCATGCATGGATAATTGTTTTCAGAATGCTACCGTCATACATTTAAAACTCAACGGTTTATGTGTGGCTTCTTGTTGTATCTTTGTAAAAACCTAAAAACAACTGATTCTGTGAGTTAAGAAAATGTAAAAAGTTATAACTGGGGGATGCAATGGAATGAATTTTTTTAGGACAAAACCAAAACTACAATTTCAAAATCTGTCAGGCCGAAATCGAAACAAAAATGTAAATTATTTTTTAATTATCTTAATTTTATTTATTTTACTTTACTGTTAGGGGCTTTGGGGAAATATCAGGGGTCTAATCAGACCCCGGACATTTCGATTTTGAGATAGAAAAAGAGATTGAGGATACATCATCCCCAATCTCTATATCTGCGGCCCCAGCACTTATTGAACAGGAAGCTCTTTGTACAGAGGCTTCCTGTTCATTCACAATCTGAAGATAGTAAATATTTACTATCAACCCAGTCATGAATAAACAGGAAGCCTCTGTACTGAGCTGCTTCCTGTTCATTCATAAAGTGAGCAGATAGTAAATATTTACTAAGTCCCCATTCATAAATGAACAGGAAGCAATGTAGAGCACTTCCTGTTCATTCATAACTGTGGACATAGTAATCACTATGTACTCAGTTATTTACAAACACTGAGTGATCAGTACTGATCCTTTAGTGTTTTTAGCTCCGCTCTCCATACTGTCTGCTCCACCCCCTAACTCCTATCAGAGGAGCTGAGCTCTACTCCTGCACCTCCCCGCTCGGCATCCAGACACTTCTCCTCCCTGCACTGTCCTGCTCGGCCTCCTGCCAGGTCTCTCCTCCCCGCTGGTCACTGGAAGCTGGATTGGCTTTGTGTCCCCTCCAATCCGCGCTGCCTCTGCTAACACAGGCGAATAAGCAATGGAGATCAGAGGTGACACAGACCGAAACTTGCAGTTGGCGCCCAATAGGGAAGAGAAGAGCTGGGGATGCACTGCATTTTCAGCTGGTTTGTTAATACTATCGGCATTTTGCCCATAGTAACATATGCCGAAATTACGCTGCATCCCTAGTTATAACCTTCCTGTGATTTTGTTGTTGTCTGTGTTCCTCCAAAGAGATTTATCCTCACTTCCTGTCCTGTGGAGTCTTTGCAGAAATTTGACCTATAGTGAATTGGCAATCTTTAAGAGAAACTCCAGTACAACAGATATTTTTATCTTCACTTTGATGCATGACTGTGTCAGAACTTTTCATATTGTAGCGCTCACCCCCTAAGGAGCCGCTGAATATTGAAATAGGTTCTCCTACCTATTGGTTCCAGCTACCGGTCCCCTTTGATCAGCAACAGCACACCGACACTCACGGACAGAACGGCTCGAGTCTTAGGGTCTTTTTAGGGTATTTATTTGCAACATCAATAGGAGAGAGAGGGTTTAGGATCTGTAGGATGCCCTTGGAATCTTAGGCTGAAGGCTGAAAATTTCAGCCGCTAAAGCTGAAATCACTGCGATCTGGTCCCAGGGACCAATAGTAGTAGTAGTACTGTGAACAGATACCTGGAATAGGGTGCGGGATCTCCCTTGTGGGTCCCAGACGGACGCTCGCACCAGCTCCTCTGCGGTACCCCTCAACAAGCGGACTCCTCCCCGACCCAGCTTCCATCAGGTATTTTCCTTAGCAACAGAATCTGGAATCTCTGTGCCCTCAGCATCTGCAACTGCCAAGGAGCACTCCAGTTTAGTGGTAGTATCTTCTTAGAACAAGGCACCCATCACCTGCCATGTGCATGGGCCCAGCAAAGTATCAGTGTATCCTATGCCTCTAGGCCCCTCAGCACCTGCCATGTGCTGAGGCCCAGGCCATTTGCTCTGCATCACACACAGTCCTCCTAGGGCGAGGCCCCTAGGGGGAATAGAGCTCTCCACAGTGTCCCCAGACCTTTTATTACCTGCCCTCAACCATGCCTCTGAGTCATCCTACTCAGGGATTGGCTAGGGCCAGGTGCATAGTCATAACCTGAGGGTGGATCCTCCCTCACTGTATGCCAAGGCTCCCTTTTCCTCAGCAACAGGAGAAGCAATCGATCCAGCAGATTCAGGGACACCTATAGAATGCAGAGCTCTGTATAATCAGTATCTAGACTGGTTACAGTCCAGGTATCTCTAAATTGAATAGCGACATTTTAGAGGGCGCTACAATATCATGAAACAGATTGACTCCACGAATGATCTAAATAGCACCCAAGCTGGTATTTCTTTACAGGAAAGCTTGTTGCAAAGTAATTTCCAGCCTTATGTCTTTTCAGCGGCGACAAAGCAGTGAATTGCAAATGGAGCTCATATGGAGCATGGTCAGACTGTGATGGCTGCACCAAAACACAGGTTTGTTTCTGAGCAGGAAATGTATTTTTTAATTGGAAGTGGCATAGGGATAAAGGAGTAGATGTAGGAATCCCTGTAGCTTGGTAAGGTAGAGTTATACAGTTCTGAATGAGACTTAAAGTGACACTAAACTCAGGAGTTAAATCCTAAAAATACATTTAAGTACTCAGTAAGTATTAACAAAAATGTATCTTATTTGTATATCACTCGGCTGTAGGTCCTCAAATCATCTCTGTCTGAATTGGTGCTGACACTGTCCTTCCTTCTGGAGGGTGGCTACTTTTGTTCCCCATGGTCCCTGTGTGTGTTGTAAAGTATCCACCGCTCCAAGCTCACTCCTGTGATAGACTACAATCTCACGTTTAGTTTACTAATTTGTTCTGAGATTGTTGTCCATCACAGGAGTGAGCTTGGAGTGGTGACTACAGTGGTCACTACACAGGGATCATGGGGAACAAAAGTAGCCACCCTACAGAAGGAAGGACAGTGTCAGCACCAATTCAGAGATGATTTCAGGATCTACAGCTGAGTGATACACAAGATACATTTCTGTTAATAGTGAAGGTATTCAAATGCATTTTTAAGATTTAACTCCTGAGTTTAGTGTCACTTTAATCTTGAATTTAATGTATATATCAGGGCAAACTTAACAAAAAAACGTATGCAGTACATCTCTGCAAAAAAATACACATTTCCCCAAGTTTTATCCCTTTGAACCCTGCTAGCAGGGGCTGACTGGCAACTTTTAGCCCAGGGGGCAAGTACAACCCAGAGGCCCATGGTGCAGCAACTTGGTCTCCCTCCCGCTCTGCCTCTTCCCCCGTCTTCTCCTTGCCCGTCCGCCACTTTTGCCATCCATGTAACGGTAGTGTGAATGGTCGGGTGATGTGAAGCAGAGAGGAGGTGCGGTGTGTGGAGCGTGGATGCGGGCGGGCGGGTCTGGCAGCGGCAAGCGTGAGGCGGGGAGGAGGTGATGCATGTGGATGCGGGCGGGTCTGGCAGTGGCAAGCGTGAGGCGGTGCGGCGTGTGGAGCGTGGATGTGGGCGGGCGGGTCTGGCAGCGGCAAGCGTGAGGCTGGGAGGAGGTGC